ATGACCCTACTCAGGCGCGACCATATCTCGATGAGCTCATTGTGAAAGCGAGGGCCGATCCTTCAACAGTACTGGCTGCAACTGATGGCTCTGTCCCTCAGTCCAACCAGTATCAGGTGACTTCGGCTGCCATCATCTACAAGGGACATCATGAGCTTGAAAGGACTCGCTATGTCTCTGGCAGAATTACCGCCCCTGATGCGGAACTCAATGCCATCTCGTGTGCAGTGCGCCTTGCTGTTAAGCAGGTGAACTGCCAACATATTATGGCCTTTACTGACTCTATGGGCTCGGCCCATAGAGCAGTCGACCCCGGCATGCACTCTGGTCAGGCTTTTAGCCTGTCAATCTGTCACGTTCTCCAAGAGTGGTTTCAGGCGGATGATCTCCGCCACATCACCTTTGTCTATGTTCCATCTGCTATGTGGTGGGATATCCATGGTGAGGCACACAAGTACATCACCGAACTCAAAGTCAGGGTTGGACGTCACAAGACGGACAACTCTATAGACGCGCTTCACTCTCGAGCTGCACACTCAGTCCTGGATTCGTGGAATTCCACTTTCCAGGATCCAACTTATCGAGGCTCTGAATTCTTAGAGCTTCAACAGCCTGACGGGTGGCTGCTACAGCCATTGTACCTCAATGGGGGACCTTGGCTTTCAACCTTCGGACACAGTATCACTGAGTTTGCTCGCGTTTGCCAGTGTATAACTGGCCATGCGCCCATTGGAGCGTATTATCATCGCTTCAAGATTAAGAAGCCTCATGGCTGCACTTGCGGGGCTGCTTTGCAGTCCCGTCAGCATATTCTCCTTCGCTGCCATGATTGCTACTCCGTGCATTACCCCTGCTTTCTTGGGGATATTGCATCTTTTATGGAGTACAACCCCACGGCGTTTGGCTTCAACCAGGACCCTTCGGGGGTTGGATAATCGCTGTGGGCGGGGTTATTCCTCCTCTTGGAGGATTTATCAGTGAATTGACACCCTCGGACCTTAGGGTTCGGAGACCTGCGCCCACTGCTATTTCTTCATGCTTGCGGCCGCTATTATAGTGGGTTGCGGCACCGCTAACTTTCTGCGTCTGATTTCGGGCAGGCGCATCTTTGGCTTGTCGGCCTCAAGACACCCTGCCACCTCCCGGGTGGTGCTTTTCTTATTTCATTTGCGCTGCGGGGCCTCCGAACAGTGATTGACGACTTTGGGGCGTAGCGGAACCTTGATGGTTTCCTCCCCTTATCCCGATGCACCGTTTTCGTGAGGTGGGTTGCCCTCTGGGGAGTTTAGGCATTTGAGCCCAAAGGGTCTTGGTTGGGGGGGCGGTCGTCCTTTAGTGGTTTACTTAGTAACCAGGCTGCGTAGCGTACGTGTTTGTAGATAGCGAGCGGGCTGCCATCGAGCACCGCTATATAAATTGTTGATTAAAAAAAAAAATAAAAAGGCTCA